GTCGATGTAAAACTTGAAATCGAAGCATCTGAGGGATTTCCACAAAATACACGAGCCTATTGCATCATTGTGCACGACACTGTCATCGAGCAACTCCCACTCAGCGAAATTATCAAGAAATGGAACTGAAGATGTGATTTTGCTTCAGTATCAATCACAGAGTCAACATGAGAATAGCTGTTGTAGATATTCAAGGTTTCACCGTCGAGCAACAATTCCATCCTAAGGAGATATCCATTAGGATTGGAAATCAGTGTAGTAACTTTTTATTGCTGCCAAACAAACCATTTTCTATATATATATATTCATGAAATATTCCTGGAATATCTATTGCTATGTGAGCTAATATTGTAGTTCTTTATTATTAGTGAGATGCTGGTCGGCGCTCCTTTGTGTCTGTACACTTAGGATTGCTCGCTGATTGATCGAGGAAAAATCATAGTAAACGACCCTGCATACTGAAAAATAAACAAACCCTGTGAACTTCAAATTCATATATTGCTCAATATCAAGGTTGACACGAATAAAAAAGATGAATCTGATGTCGACAATGTCATCGCTGTGGACTTCGCCCTTTGATAATGTTTCATTGTCTTCTCGATAAAATCCAAGTATCTGTCGATTTTGGTGTAGACGCCAGGATAGTCTCCAGCACAGTCAACCCCCCAAGAAATGATACCGATCTGCTTATCTTCACATATTAACGGTCCCCCCGAATCTCCTTGACAGGCGTCTTCCTCATCCTCGGAGAAAGTGCATATCATATTTTTTGTTATAGTAAAGTTCTTGTACAACTGCGAACATTTGTCGTTTTTTATCAAGGGCAGAAAAAGACACTGTAAAGGAATAATATTTCATGTCTTTATGAATTATTACAACTTTGGAAAAATAAATATATTTAAAAGCGCATGTCATCGCATGTATTAAACCTAAAAAGTTCTGTTACGAATTGTCTTCTGATACTCCCCCATCATATTATACCCCGTAAATATAAAATTTTTGATTAGTTCGGACTTCTATTGTCTGACATGATATGATTTGGAATCACTGAAATAACAAATGAAAGTGAAAATTAAAAAAAAGCTGAAAATAACTTCACGACGTTTCAATTGTTAGTATCCAGTGATAACACTTATCACCCGAAGACGATTGTGGATACTAACAATCTAAACGCAGTTGTTGAGTAACTTGGCTTGAAATCTCTTGTTTTTTAATTTTTATTTCATCTTAACTGTTCAATTTTCAATTTTTTGCTCAATTTTTTGCTCAATTTTTCGCTTAATTTTTATTCAATTTTTATTATTATTTTTATTTATTATTGAGGTTTTTTTTCGCTTAATATAATTGTTGTTTTCAGATTTTTTGAATTTACGTTTCAATTTGTATTTCAGAGATTTCAAATCATATCATATTAGACAATGGAAGTTCAAACTAATGAAATTCACCATGAAACATTGTCAACCATCTTCAAACATGAAATTTTTTTCATTCTGAACTCATACAGACCATCATCTTACATGCCTACCTATCTATTACAATAACAAGGTATGTCATGATCGAGGCAAGAAATATTTCAAATTCATTATTATGTGAATAATCCTATTTGAAAAACCCGTAAAATATTAATTTTTTTCACAGAATTGACCTTTGGAGTATAGTTTCTTTGAAAGTTGTTCAAATTGATAAATATTTAGACTTCAGGTGCTTGTACAGTGGATCAAAATATGTAAAATAAAGTAGAAAAGTAAGAATGAAGAATGAGAAATGAAAATTTATGTTTTTTACCTACTACTACTTAGTAGGAAATCAAGAATAACCATATTCTGACAATTTCCACCAACTGGAGATATACCTGAAGAGTGAAAGACACCTCCTGGATCATGATGTCCGTAACTCCCCACCCCATCACCAAACATTTTTGCTGCTGCTCATAAATATCTTCTGATTCAGTATTCATTTTCCTAGGTAATTTTACATATTGTATGAAATAGTCGTCTACAGCCAGAGGAGACTCCAGACGAAACAAGGCGATATCGTTATCCATAGTCTTCTTGTTGTATTGCGGATGAGGATACATATCGACTACTCGAGCAGCGATGTATTGCTTGAAACCCGTCAAATAGTTCAGTCCAGCGTGTACTGTAGGATTCATTCTGATGCAGTGTGCAGCAGTCAGAACCCAGAATTCATTCAGTAAGGTTCCTCCACAAACATGATCCAGTTTTTGGTTTCGTATGGAAACAACAAATCTGTGATCTTGTTCCGAGCATACGAAACCTCCGATTATACGAGGAACTCCTTCTTCTCGGGTGTCATCGCTGATTGTACTAACAATCAAATGAAAGCAAATAGTTAGGACAAACTGCATTGTCAAACTTTTACTTGACAAATTGTTGAACTGGCATTTGGAAACCGATATGAAATTGGCAGCTGTCACTAGCTACCACGGTATATGAAATATGAAATGAAGTATTTGAATGATTACTGCTTCAAAACTGGAATTGCTTGAAATTCAACTTATGGGAGGAGTGCACTCTTCAATAGGTTGGAATGAACTATTAAAAAAAGAAATAGCTTCACTTTTAGATTGCCACTATCGAATATCGAGAAAAAACACATGAACAATTGATATTTTTCAGAATTTAAAATAGAGATATTGGAAACTGATCAGGTGATTTGAATAAATTTCACCAAAAATTCATGTGTCTATCAATTCAAAATTGCAGTTTTGATTTACAGGCTTTTGTGATCCCAACAATTTAAACACTAACTATTATATAAAACAAGCCTAATTCGATGGGATTCATTGAAATGGTCAAGGAAATTATGAGACATATTTTACTCCCAATAACAATATTCCCTCTAGGATAGGTTTTGAAAACGTTTTGTTACTGCAGATGCAAAAACTCATTAAACTTGACTTCAAGAAGGATTTACTGTTTTAAAGATGTCTAAAATCTTTAAAGTAAGACGAGAAAAAAATCACTTCTGCACATGGTGTTCCAGATTCCCTTTTGATACCTATCGGAAAATTGATCAATACAGGACGTCATATTGGAGAGGAAGGTCAAAAACAATTTTTTCAAGATCAGAGTAAGTGAAGAAAACGTATGAATTAAAACGTATGAATTAATGAAAATGAATTACTTCTCTTGATGAACCAACCAACCGAATTAGTTCAAAATAACCTATAAACGTACGACAATTCACATACAAATTAATTACAGAACGAAGGCCGACTTAGATCCAACAGACTCATTCGCATGGAGCAAATCAGTATGCGCAAATCCGTATCTAAACATCTTCTGAGTAAAATACCGTTTAATGATTTCCAGACAGTTCTGAATGGTGGACAGAACTGTTTTTTCGTCGATCTAGATATTTGCAGAAATTATCAATATGTTGTTAGGTTTTTTGTGGCAGCGGAGCTGTGTACTCTGAAGACCCTAGATGTAGTCCATTTCACAAAAAAAATCTTTTAGTGGGATTACGATATGTTTTGGTTTTGGAACATATAGATACTTTGGAGTCGAAGAACAAAATTTTTTTATTGATAATTAATTGATAATAAATGAAATAAAATGGAAAATTAATTTTCTCATAAAATTGAGTGAACGATAGTCACCAATAGCCACAATTGCCAGAAATTATCTCTTGACCAACAGCAGTTCATAGTTTTTTCAATAAATTTCAAGTATTTATCGACTCTTGTATAAACTCCCGGAAACCCGATATCGCACGAGATACCCCAACTAACAATACCATATTGCACGTCGTCGCAGAGTAAAGGCCCTCCCGAATCACCTTTGCATGCATCTTTACCTATAGATAGGGTACATATAACGTTATCCGTTATATTGAAGAATACATAATAATTATAGCATATTTCATAACTAATTGTTTTCATTTCAACGCAGTTCAATACTTTTGACATTTTCTTGCTGATAGAAGTAGTCATCCCGAGTCCCATCACTAGTGCTTTGGGACATTTTCTGCTCACATCACCCTTGTATGCTTCAGTTGGAAGTGCTACGTAAGCAATGACGTGACTTTCGAACATTGGACTGCCAAGTTTCATCAATTCAATATCGTTTGCTAATGTTTCCCTATCGAATCTCGGATGTGGGTATCTTTTTGTCACCTTGGACCAATGAAAATCTCTAGGTTTTTTTGCCATTTCAACCCAAACGTATAAATTGTGGGCATCGCAATGTGCAGCGGTGAGTACCCAATAGGCACTCAATAAAGTTCCTCCACAGATAACGGTGCTGGTCGGAAAATGACGTATCGATACGAAAAAAATATAACTCTGGTTGCATTCCGATCCTCCTATTATTCGTTCTCTCACGTCTGAACTACTCGCCAGGATGTACAAGACAAAGTAATTGAAAATGAGGTAAACTTCCTTGAGAATGATCTTCAAACGCAAAAGTGACATTTGTGCAAGGTAATGTCAATAGTATTGTCAAATTCAGCATTCTTGTCATATTATAGGCGTTTGACACTAATCAGTTGAACATAATATAATATTCACGAATAGTGTTCTTTCGTGAAAATCAAGGTACTCTCTAATCGGGCTTGATGAACTGATCCACCAGATAAGCCACCATGAAAAATATGCACGATTTTGAGTCCTGAACCATCTCTTAGCTTTTCATTCGTAAAACGTTTTTGTCCTACGGGTTTCTAAGCATCAAAATGTCTAGAGACCGTGGTGTAGTCGACAATTCGCTGTTGTTTTCTCGAATGCTCTCGACGCTATTGAAGAAATTACCTAACTCAACAGTGCGGACGAAAATAGTTACCATCCTCTTAACATTTGAAGGAGGCAAGATATCAAAGGCGGGAGAAATTTGTAAGAGAAGGAATAATTTTGAGTAGTCTTTGATAAAAAAGGTGATGGTATGACATCATCGCAGAGGGGGTGCTACCAACTTTATTTGTATGTAAAGGAGGGTGTGACCCTTCGCTAGAAAAGTATTTTAGTTCTCTATACAACAACTTTCACTATTTTGAATTCAGATAACCAGTTGAGAAGTTAGTGGTGTATGAATTGAAGACATGTATAAATGATACAAGCAAAAGAGGTTGAACAGCTTCATAGTTAATCAGCATAGTTTACGCAAAGTCTGAATGTGTGAGAGAGACAAATTGTTCACGGAAATGAATTACATTTACAATAAAATAAAACAAAAGTATCTGACAAAACACAGCATTTTTTTTCAATGTCACACTTCAACTCCTGAGAAAATAAATATCTGGTAGTAATATTGGGAAATCATATTCATCCACAGATTCAAGAAATTGTGGCCAACAATCAAGATGAATTAAAAAATTCAGTTGTTTTTTAACAATACAGTGCTTTCTCATATATTTGAGGATATTGGTTGGATCAGACATAACCAAGCATGTGAATTGATAGGGCGGTCAGTTGGAATATCCTGCTCGTTCATCAGATTTGACTCCTCTCGATTTTTTCTCTTGGTGCTATATCAAATCTTGAGTTCATGTTACGCAATCTGGGATAATTCGGAAGCTCAAAGACATAATTACCGAGGATTGTTTTCTTCAGATTGTGACTACAAATATTATTAGAATTGGACAACAATAAGAATTAGGAATGATAATATTACTCACATTATTGTTGAGATTAATGTTCATAACCATAATAATACGTGAAAATAGAAGAACAAAAATAATAAAAAATGTTAAATTTTTGTACTAATTTAGAAAACACTTCTGAGAAAGCCGATACACAGGTACATTTCAAAAAGGAGTCATTATGTCATGAATCACAAAACCTCAGAGTCCAGACAAATTATCAATAAGAATAATTATTTGGCGTAAAACATCTGGCATTATTAGAGAGAAAACAACTTTTTCAGTTTGCCACTGTCACCAGTCGTCATATTCAAAAAAGAAAGGTGAAAATTGGGAAAATTCAAATTGTAGAGCACAACATTCAAACTTTGAAGAAGAAATTTCAATAATGTAAACCCAAAAAACTAAAATGTATGCAATGTAATTCTTAAATGAATAATTTTGAAAATTATGTAGACATTCATCCAACATACGGAGAAAAAAATTTTCATTAAACAAACAAACGTTTGTTCTCAATTGAAGGGCTACCTAAAAGAACACATTCTAGTTCCAATTTGACAATCATCAAATAAACAGCTAAAATGTAATATCAGTGACAGTAAACTTGTACGTATTTGTCATTTCAGAAGTTCACAAATACAAATTAATTTAAATTGACGGGGTTTAATTTTCAGTAGAGATTCATTTTTGGGAAAGAAAGGTTTTGGCTTTATACTTTTTTATTTTCAAACAAAAAATTTAGGAATCTTCCAAAGGAAGGAAGGAAGCAATCAATTTCAAAAATTTAACTCTGTACAAGGATGTGTAGATCATGCAAAGGAGTAACTCTCAGATACAAACTAGATGAGAAAGCCTTCTCGAAACAGGACTTTCAGTTTCGATTTTGTAATGAAACACACAAATGAGTGTGTGAAGTTTGGTTCCATTTTCTTCGACCTTTTATAAATTACCTTTGACACTAAAGAACAGGTGGACTTTATTCTGATTTGGAAAACGATATTTTTGAAATGATTTCAGTCAATGTCAGAACTTTTATATTTTTGATTCTCAGCCTTTTTCATAACTTTCAACAACTCAAATATAGATATACATTTCAGATTCATACATTTTTTGGGAACTATAATATGGCCAGAAGGCATTTCATAATCAAAAAAATTTCGTAAAACTAAGTAAATAAAACAATACTGTATAGGAAAAGGAGATCGAAAGTCCACAGCCACGCATTGTCTTTTGTATGAAATTCAAATACTGATCAATTCTGATATATACGCCGGGGTAGTCTTCAGCACACTTCCTTCCCCAAGACACAATTCCGTACTGTACATCTCCACATATGAGAGGTCCTCCGGAATCTCCCCTACAAGAATCTTTACCGTGCATGTAGGCGCATGTTTGTTTGAAGGAGAACGGATGTTGGTATTTAGCCTCACACTTGGAAATTGGAATCACTCTTAAATAGACGCAGTTCAGTTTAGTAGGACTTTCATCACTCAAATAATTAGTTACACCCCAACCCATCACAAGAGCCATCGAACAATATCGAATTAAATCACCGTATAACATTTTATCGGGTATTTTAACAAAACTCGAGTTTTTGATAGGTTCTTCTAATAAAGCTAAAGCTATGTCGTTTTCCAAAGTTGAGGAGCTGTATTCTGGATGTATTTTCACTTTTGCGACTTTAACAAGAACAAATTCCCTATATTCCTTTCTACTCCACGTGCCAATCAAAGCAAATTTCATAAAATTATGACAATGCGCAGCAGAAAGAACCCATAAAGAGCTTATCAGTGTACCGCCACAAGAATGGTTATCCTCTTCTTCACGTAAAGAGACCATGAAACTGTAATCTGCATCATCACATTCTTCACCTCCTATGATTCTAGTCTTGTTATCAGCCAGGAAGTTGCTTCTGACTTCCAGATATGCGTTAATAAACATTAATAATTTAACGAGAATATTGAACATACTCAACATGGCATATAACCTGAAATTTGAGTTATGTATGACGGAATATCCAAGGCTTACCATGACATAGTTCATTAATATAATGATATTTAACATTAGTGAGCGATTGAACAGAACTGAAATGAGAAAGTTCCACGAAAGGGTTTACTTTTTTATTATTAAAAAAAAATCAGTACTGATAGAAAACTCAGTAAACTGAGCTTCTCCTCTATAATTATCTCTGTGAGTCAACTCAGGAGCAGACTCTAACAATCGTGAGAGACGTGTTTTTCATTCAGAAATCAGGTAGATAACTCTTGATTAACGCTATTGATTAACAAGTCGCAAAAAGTGAATTAAAAAAATGATTTGAATCAATTGCAGAATACTAGAGCATCTGAGGGATGCTAGGATACTCTTAGATTAAAGCAGCGCATCCCTTTGAGAGAGGGAGTAATTGTATGTAACTAACAAGTCACCACCTAAGAAAAAAAAAAAGAATTTCAAAACCAGAGAAATGGCCCAAATCTACAACAGTCAGGAAAATCGCCAACAGAGACTCTGTGATATGAAGCGACCTTTTGAATCTTGAATCCATGCGGCGTGGTTCGATACTGGAAAAACTAAATGGACCACAATTATGAACAGAAGGAAGTTTTAGCGGTCCTTACGGAAGTTATGGGGAAGTATCAAGAATCCTGAGTCCTAAGGGAAAATATTATGGAATTGGCAGAAATCCGGATAGTAAATTTATAACGAATTTATCCGAAAAGAATTGAAATTTACTCAGTTTAGCAATTTTTGTGTCATGGATTGTGTTCAAATAGTGAGGGCATACCGAACAGATATTAACACCAACGTGTGGTGTCACACACTGTCCGTTGGTTTATCATGGCAAAAGTAGGCAATAAGCCTACTTATGTAAACAAGAGACGTAAAAAAGTATCCAATATAAGTAATATAAGGTTCATTTTTATACAAAAAAATTGAGAAAGTTCCTAAGGATGAAAAAAACCAATTGAATTCAAAAACTAATTTTATCTAAAAATATACCCCTTGCAAATCAATAAAAAAGTTACTTGTAACTTGTAAGTCACAATGTTCGGAAATGAATTTGGGTGATGAGAAAAGTTGTTCGGTCATCGGGACATAAACTCTGAAATCTTACAATCTCATACATCGACCATATATTATCGAAACCCACTAGAAACGAACAGGAGAGTCTCTAGAGCAAAACTGAAAATCTGTTAACACTGAATAGATTTTGTAATATAGAATTTTACTTACAAAGAAATTGTCTCACAGTTAGCTAGGGATCAAATAGAAATATTTCTTGGTAGAATGAAGTTCTGACATGGATTAAACAACTAACTAGAAAAATATTTGAGATGCGAAGGAATATGAGATCAATACAAAAAGTACCGAATTGAATACAACAAAGTACTGTGAAAATTTAACAAATATTCATGGAGGATGCAATGCCACAAGATTAAACCAAATCAAATATCTACTGAAATTAAAAAGATACTCTCGGGTCTGAATAAATAAAGTAAATACCGGGGGCAGCTTCTCCGGGTGCACTTCCTCAGGTCAAAAATCACAATTCTAATATTGGAAATCAAGGATAAGCGATTGTTTTCGAAGAGATGAAGATGAATAGACGATATAAGCTGCAGACGGATACATTACATACTCAGAGGAAGTTGGTACGTCTTCAGGACCATAATGAACATAAGTACTCCCCCCAAGGGTATGCCCCCCCAGATCCACAACACTGACTGTGACCTTGATTTTGTTTTTTATTCTCCGCCTATGAGTTGACCTTGAGTTGCGTGTAACATAATGAGGTGGAAAACTTTTTTTACCCTCCGCCCATGACTTTGGCATTCGGTTGTGTGTGGTGTCATGACCGTGAACCTCTTTTCACTCTACGGCTATAATTTGGCCTTGCATGGTTATACGTCACATGACCTTGGAAATTTCCTAAGCGATTTCGAGCTACGAACACGTCATATGACCTTCGGAAAAATTCTGATCGATATTGACCTCAGAACACGTCATATGACCTTAAACACAAAGTGTGGTTGGACAACCGGCTTTGCTTTTGATACATGAGTTCAAATATAAAGAAGATGTAACCTTGAACCCCCTTCCTTCCTGATAATTTTTCTATAAGTATGGAGTTTCATACTTTCACATTAATATACGTCTCAGGCCAATAACCTTGACAATTATTACAAAATATAGTTTCATCAATTTTGATTGGATCGCCACACACCTTCGGTTTTGAATTCCATTCTTTCGGAAAAGGTATATTAGTATTCACTATTAGATGCTGCAATATTCAATTGCCAAATTCAACTGCACTCTCATGAACCTATTTTTCCTATCATAAACACATAGAGAGAATAGGGGGAGAAGAGTGGTGAGGCTACCACCTCCACAATTGAACAAATCATGAAAATCGACTGCTGATTCTGAACTTCACTTCACTAGTACTATTAGTAACTTCAAGCTTTCCACTCAGAAATAAAGAAAAATGAATTCTGCAAAAATTAATGAAGTTTTGACAAGGTTGAAGACGAAAATAATTGGTTTTCGGATGAAGAGGACGAACTTCCGAACATTATTATCGAAGGAGATGATAACATCGGAGGAGAAAACGATATATTCGATGTAGTAGATGGCATCGTTGTACAAGAAGACGGTGGAGCCATACCTGTTGCTGATAATCTGCAGAATATTGATGGTGTAATGGATCCGGGACTTCAAGATGAAGGCATTGATGATGATCCAGCGACAGACAATGGCAACATTACAATAGGGAGCCGGTGGATGAACATTAGTGAGAGAGTGGAAAATCATTTAGATCTGTACTGTGTGACGGACTCTCATGTGCGTATACGAACCATTAATGATAGCATCCACACATTATGTTGGTGTTGTTTTAGATTTTATTTCCATCGAAATAGAAATAATGGAGGCGAATATGTACATATGGATTTACATTACACTATATCGATGATGGAAATAACACAAACGTGGTGTGAATCTTGTGACAGACCTCTGACAAATTTTTGCCGTTTAGAAGTAACAATGTCCTTCCACAATGAAATGTTATAATAAATATCATTTAATTCATTATTGTTGTTGTTATTTTATTAATGAACCTTTTGATGAAGAAGAAAAGTCCTTCTCAAAAAATATGATTGACACACTATACATGATAAACTAAAGTGTATTGTTAAGACATCCAAGTTTTTATTAGTGAGTTGATTTCGAATATATCCTTCAATGATTCGTGGGGGAAGAAATAACATAGAGTAAATCGCTATGACAATCCTATTCTCAAACATTTTAATTACCAGCTAACTAGTTTAGTGATTCAATAATTTTTCCGAAAAAAGGGGTTGGTTGGGTAACAGGATGAATTTTTTTCTCAAAAAAATAATTGTATTCTAGCCGACGTTTCGAATTTAATTAAATTCTTCTTCAGAGCTCAAAAAGTCGTTTTTTCGTGTTGATGAAATTAATATTTTGAAACCCATCAGAGATAGTAGATACATATTTAAACAATAAAAAACATTCCAAAAACAAATTTTCTTGACAACAGTAACACAAAACGAGATGAAACAAACAAATGGCTTTATCTTTATAACCATCATTCATGTTTCACATTGAATTTTGTATTGAATTAACCTAATTTTTTTCTATCATCTATAAGTGATAGATATGAGTAATCAGTTTTCAATAAAATAATGTCTTAGGTTGAACACTGCTCCAAACCACGCAGTATTCCGTGTGCACCAACTAAATTATGTACACTCCGAGTACACTAGCGTAACCTAACCATTCTGATCATTATCGATAATGACTATTTCAGGATCTGGAGAATCAGCTATCATAATGATTTCTGGGGGGTCGGTGAATTGATTTTGTTCAATTTGTTCATCCAAATACGGTTCAATGAGGTCAGGGCTGGGTGAATCCCGAAAGATTGAAAAAATTTCATTCATTACACCAAAGTCGGCGTCGGAATCATTTGGGTCGTCAAATTGACCGTATTCGTCAGCGTCGAATTCGAAACCACGATCCTCATCCAAATCAATTGTGGTGTCTGAATATCCATCAAAGTTGTTGTCCACACCCGTTGAATTGATAATTTCAACTTGAATGTCTCCATAAGCTGAATCCTCAGAAGGAACGAAATATGGTTCACTCGTTGAATCGGCTTCTTGTTCAACCGGTGTTACTTGATTCATGATGGTGGTCTGTTACTTGCAGTGTGAAGCTGAAAACCTCCAATCTTTCGACATGGACAATGAATGACATCACAAATCCTTGGGATATTCGTGTCATATGACCTCGATATATGAACACAACTTTGCGTGTCTCATGACCTTCTATTATGATCACGTCATATAATCTCAGACATGAAGTTTTAAAACTTCAATCATTCGAGTTTAACATTGAATAACATCACAAGTCGCTGATATATTTATATCTCATACGAACTTGTGTTATGAAATGTCATATACCCTCTGACATGGAGTTTTGGTCCTAACGATTGACTTTGTCTTCGACAGATAACTTTTGAATGTAATGAATGATAATCTCATTCTGTTTTCTGAAAAATAACCATTGATTTGACTTCATCTGAGTCATCCATCTCACTATAGGATATAGAATTTTTTGAACTGTGGCATTGACGACATTTGATAATCAATGCTTCAATCATTTTATTTTTTTCAGAGATTGATAATAACTTTCTAATTGTTACTTTCATTATTTTTTAAATGTACAGATTCGCACTTTTAGTTATGACTAGAAAGTAACATAGATAAATATTATTTGTTTTTTGAAATAAAAATGACTAATCGTTACTTTCCTTATTTATTTTACGAATATAAATATACTTTTTTACATATAAAAAGAAAATGCATTACATAACTTTATTTTGTTTTTTTTGAAAATAAATGATTAATTGATATGTTCATTATTAATTTTTTCAAATATGATTGGATTGAATCCATTGATTGAATGGAA